ACAAGCCAGATGACAAGTTGACAACATGATAAAGCTTATTGTTATAAAACTTTATTCAAAACAAATTTACAAACGTTATTAGGAAAAGCACCAAGTAATCGTTTTAACAACTATTTATTCTCAGTTGCTCCGATGATAAGGGGTGTCATTAAACAAGAAAAAGTAATAATGAAAATATGGTAATAGGTTCACAGGTTCATTACTGACAACTAATTCCACCAATAGACGACAATCAAAATGATCAAATGAGCCAAATCTGCACTGACAAAGATCTGATTAATTAAATCAGAGCAAATGCACAAGCTGCTGAGCTTAGCAACTGTATTACAGTAATAAAATGAGAGCAGCTAAAACAACACTTAGGAAATACACGATTCATCCAAAATAGTTTTGATAAAAGACAACATTTATATCATCCTCCTGGTTGAAATCATGTCTCTAAAACTCTCTCCGATACATACTGGACATCTTGGAAAGTGGATATTTCAAATTCAAGTAAATGCTCCTAATATCATATTTTTAAAATCGCCTATAAACTTGAAACATATTTAATAAACATCCCTCCCCAAATATATAATTCAAATTGCTATTCTTGTCTGCCAATAGAAACCGGAAGATGGAAAAACACTCCGTTGACTAAACATTTATGCAAGTTGTGTGATTGTGTTGACATTGGAGATGAATTCCAGTATATCTTCAAATGTAAATATCCCGATGAACAAAGGGACAAGTACATCCCAAAACACTATTCAAAACGACCAAATATCTTACAACTCCAACAATTATTTAACTGCCATAAGATATCTGTCCAAAAGAAACAATGTAAATTTGTTAACATACAATAAAAATTGTAAAAGTTCCGGTTAACCTCTGTCCACCGCAGTGTAAAATACCGTTTGTACCTCATATGCCGAGGGAAACAAAGTGCTGTTCTGTTCTAACAAGATACCGACCAGATGCATAGACAGCCATTTAAGTCGTCTGCAACCAGTTAACACCTGAGTTAATTAACTCAACACTCTGTGTTTATTTCCCTGTATTTAACCTGGCAGAGGTTATTCACTCATCAGAGGGCATATCCCTAAAATAAGTCACTTTGACAATAAAATAGTGGAGAACATCATAATATCAAACTAGTCTAATAGACTAAAGATTCAGTCACTTTGACTGAGCAAGGAAATACTAAAATTCCCCAAAAGCTAGACAATCTCGGGAAGGTTGGTTATCCACGGATTACTAGAAAAACTTGAGTATTGGAAACCCTAGTGACATGTACTAAGTTTAGCTCAATACAACCGAGTCAGTCCTCGTACGAGATCCCGTAGCAAACCGACCCTTAAAACGGCCTAACGAATCCTGGGGGATAAACATACAAGATCTTGAAAATGTTTATACATACAGGGCGCAGACCTCAGAGAGGTCAGTCTCTTATGGACTGCTGGGGAATACAATAGTGTGAGGCGCTTCACCAACGTGTGTGTCTAAACATGGGGAAAACACAAATAACAAACTACTATATCCATACTGATGATGAAATCATAAAAATAAAACACTGAACATAAGCTATCCAACGGTATCATCAAAGATTACAAGAAGCTATGTACAATTATCGGGGAGGCAAAAACGATCATAAATACATGAGAAATATCTGAATGTACATAAATGTGTAGTTTGTTTGTTGGTATAAGCCGCACTCAGCAATATTCCAGCTATATGACGGTGGTATGTAAATTATTGAGTCTGGACCACCCAATCCAGCAATTGACATCATGATCATCAATCCACACAGCAAGCCTGATCAACCGATCCCGTTAGCCGCTCTTACGACAAGCATTGTCACCTTTTACGGCAAACATAGGTTGCTGAAGACCTATTCTACCCTGTGCCATTAGATCACAAGAGAATGAAATAGTTGGGTCACTAATTCTCTAACACAGAATGCAATGAACATTTCTGAGCGGTGTCTGAAATATAGCCGAGGAGCGGTGCAGTCACTAGACCTTGACAAGGGTAGATTTAATGACCCGGTGACAAATGGTGAGGTGAATTGGTGTTTAACGTCGGGACCAAGATTATTGCACTTATATAGCGACTGCATGTATGTGTGTGTGTTTGTGTGGCTGCATGTACTTGTTCGGACTGATGCCGAATTATAGTGCTAGCTCACTGAGATACCATGCTGCAGTTTAACATGAATACCCTACTCAGACACAGTATACCGACTCCGAGCTGACCAGTCCTTGTTTTAGCCCCTTAATGCCGAGCGTCAGACACGGTAACAACAAATGCCATCTTTTAATGTCTTTTGGTATGACACAGCTGGGGTTCGAACCCCGGACCTTCCACTCCCCAGGCGGACGCTCTACCACTAGACTACGGAGGCGGTCTCGGTGACAAATGATAGTATACAATCACTCAGACAATGAAGGCAATATATGACACATGACAAGAACTATTAAAATATTTATCATGGGCTTGTGGATTTTGACTGCTTTCAGCACTATTCAAGAATATCAGGTCAGACATAGTGACATGTGAGAAGGTGAAATGGGGTTTAATGTCGTTCAAGATTATTGCACTTATACAGCGACGTGCATGTACGTGTTTGTGAGCTTGTACTCATCTGGACTAATGCCGATTTTATAGTGCTAACCCACTTGAGATACCATACCGCAGTTTAACATGAAAATCTCACTAAGACACAGTATACCTACTCCGAGCCAACCAGTCCTTGTTTTAGCCCCTTTTTGGTCTTTTGGTGTGTCGCAACCAAGGATCGAACCCCGACCATCCGCTCTGCGGAGAGAGACACTCTGTCCACTAAACCACAGAGGCAGGGACATGAGGAATGGAACCCAACCTAGCAAACCCAGGTTGGTTGGTTTGTTTGTTGTTAAACGCCGCACTCACCAATATTCCAGCTAAATGATGGCGGTCTGTAAATAATCGAGTCTAGACCAGACAATCCAGTGATTGATATCATGAGCATCGATCCATGCAATTGGGTAACCTCAAGGTAAAAACTGTTATACTTATTGAATACTTAATGCATGTGTGAATGTATGGCTATCGATATGAAATACATTGGTATTGTCATTACTGTCACTGGAATTTGCAAAGACAGAGGCAAAATGTGACCCAGATATGTCGAACGATTTAAACTCCGTGACTGTCTATACTCCTACTTTGAAGAATGCTAGGCTTGTTTTAGAAGTATCAAATGAATACATCCAGAGCAGCATGGCTCAACCACATCTGTATATATCCATTCTCGTGACAGGCCGAAATAGATTTTCAAATTTAATATGACAAATGCAGACTGAATTTGAAACATGGCAGAAATCTATGTGTACCCTCACAGCTAGAAACACTAAACTTTTATCAGTGTGGCTTTGAATTCCCAAATTATACTAAAATTCCAAAACATTAACACTTGATCTATGTACACTTTATAAAAATAGTTGAGAAGTAGTAAGTGAGTTGTATTTTACGCCGCTTTTTAGCAATTTTCAGCAATATCATGGCGGGGGACACCAGAAATCGGCTTCACACATTGTACCCATGTGGGGAATCCAACCAGCGTCTTTGGCGTGACAAGCGAATGCTTTAACGTCCAGTCTATCCCACAGGCACCTCGGTCTTGGAGTATACCATAACACAACATGGGAGATGCATTTTCCAAAGCAGAGTTGGGTTGCTATGTGGTGATGGTGATTGGAGGCCCATTTAACCCACTCATGTAGAGGTCAGTCTCTCCTGGACTGCCGGCCGCGGGGAATACAATAGTCTGAGGCACTTAACCAATGGAACCGTGAAGATTCCGGGGTAGAATAGGTCTTCAGCAACCCATACTTGCCTTTTACGACAAGCATAGTCGCTTTTACGGCGACTAACGGGATCGGGTGGTCTGACTCGCTGACTTGGTTGATACATGTCATCGATCCCAATTGCGTGGATCGATGCTCATGTTGTTAATCACTGGATTGTCTGGCCCAGACTCAATTATTTTACAGACCGCCGTCATATAGCTGGAATATTGCTGAGTGCGGCGTTAAACAACAAATCAAAACCAAAAACTTAACCAAAGCATGTTTCAAAACCTGGGGAAAACACGAATCAGAAACTACCATATTTATACTGATGATGAAAGTATCAAAATAAAGCACTGAACATAAGCTATTCAGCGGTATCATTAAAGATTACAACAAGCTGTGTACAATTATTGGGGAGGCAACAATGATCATAAATACATGAGAAATATCTGAATGTATATATAAATTCCCCTAATGTTTGAAAATCATAGTTACAAAAACATTTTCAATATATGGCTAAGGTAGCGAACATACAGGAGCTGACTTTGCAAGAACATAACAACTGATCAAGGAAGAGGGATTTGAATTGAAGACTTAGTTACCAAGGGTAATGACGACATTGATATGAAGTGATACAGTTAACTACAACGTGCTGACTATAATTATACTGATTGTCATGTTGGAGTCTTCAGTGTGACAATCACACAGGTGGGAGCAGCATGGCTATTGGGACACTTCAGTCCATCGTGGATGAAAGAATCGGAGTCCAAAACTAGTCCATTGATATTCGGAGGAAATGCCTGTTGGAGAGAAAGATACATTTGTTCTATATTAATCCAGAGATGGGACGGTTAAACGTACATGTATATAGTCATGTCTTTATTATCTTCACCAAAACATTTAACAGATTATTGGAGCAGAACTGAATACATGTTTTTCAATATTTTCTGTGAAAAATGATGAAGAAAATGTTGGAGAACCTACTTGTCATAAACAATGGATGACGTCATTAATTATATGCATTGCTATGGGACGCTTCACAAATAATAAAAACAATGGGATAATGGAATTACAAAACATCATAATTGCTTATCCATGCTCAGTGAGAATTAATGTAAATGTTTGTACCAATATCCTTTCCCCAATGGATAATTTGCTATATTACGATGTTGATATAATTACTTGCCTACTGTTATATGATGGTGCAGTGCACCATAGCGGCGTCCTAGAGGTCTGTAATCTTCATCGTGTATGCTGCTGCAGTGGCTGAGTGTGCAGACCCTCCCCCTGACAAGCGCGGAGACAGGTGCAGTGTGCTGCCACGGCAAGTGTACCTGTAAACATACAGATTGTGATCAAATGGCATTGCATGCACACAGTAACAATTAATTAGGTGCGGTGAAATGGGGTTTAATGTCGCGTTCAAGACTTTTGCACTTATATAGCGACATGCATGCACGTGTGTGTGCCTGCTTGTACAAGTCTGGACTAATGCTGATTTTGAAGTGCTAGCCCACTGAGATACCATGAAGCAGGTTTTTAACATGAATACCCCACTCTCAGACACAGTATACTGACTCCGAGCCCACCAGTTCTTGTTTTAGCCCCTTAATGACAAGTTGCAGGCAGGGTAACAACAAATACAATCTTTTAACGTCTTTTGGTATAACACAGCTGGGGTTCGAACCCCGGACCTTCCGCTCTCCAGTCAGACGCTCTGTCCACTAGACCATGGAGGCGGTTGAACAAATAACTAGAATTGAATTGACTCAAGGAGTGTTCTGTAAAGGAAAAGACAGATAGGAGGTCTTGTAGTTCTCAAGACAGTTGTTTGGAAGAGTCTGTCTACAAATGAGTCTCATACCTTTCAACCATCAAATAAGTGCAGTCTGAAACTCACCTTGTCACTTAGTTCTGTTCAACAGCCATCTCAGTGGTTGCCTCATACTGCCAACATCCTACCACAGCACCGCACGTGATTAGGAAAATCCATCTTTAACTCTGAGTATCAAGAAAAGTAACTGAAATATTTTGACCATAAGTTGACCATTCAACCGAATGTGATATATTTCTTCAGACAAACCAGTGAGATCTGACACACTTTTTTCAACGAGTGAGAATTTCTTGTTTCAAAATCATTCAATCAATTCCTGACAAGAGACGTTCTCCAAACACAAGTAACCGAGAACATCAGCCTAAACATGTCAGACTCGGTTATCAAAGTAGTCCGATTTATTAAGACAACACAAGTCTCAGTAACCAGTCGCCACACAGTTAACAGGCCATTGGTCTCACAGTCAACAGTCCAGCATAGAAAGAGAACTTCCTGCTTCACCGTTGGGGACCAGGTCAACCTGGTGTTACCTCTCAACATGCAGTAAGTACAACTGAAGATATAAACGAATCATTAACACTATACTGACTATAGGAATAAATTTTTATGTATAATATGTATTGTTTCTACTCTATATCTCACTTGAACAGCTGTCATGTTGGTGCCTACATTTCAATTTTATTTGTCCGTCCACTACCCAACAAAACTTCAAAGAGGGTTACACAAACATGTGAATTGATCGGCATTTAATGGAAGTTATTGAATAAATTCTTAAATTAACAAAATACTGTCTATACTCATACTTTGAAGAATCCTAGGCTTGTTTAGAAGGTATCAAATGAATACATCCAGAGCAGCATGGCTCAACCACATCTGTATATATCCATTCTCGTGACAGGTCGAAATAGATTTTCAAAATTAATATGACAAATGCAGACTGAATTTGAAACATGGCAGAAACCTATGTGTACCCTCACAGCTAGAAACACTAAACTTTTATCAGTGTGGCTTTGAATTCCCAAACTATACTAAAATTCCAAAACATTAACACTTGATCTATGTACGCTTTATATATATTTAAATAAACTTCTCATGTTGGAATCCAGAAGAGTTTAGAATTCTAGGAGTCAAATTTTGCACAAATCTGAAAAAAATGGTTCAGTTGAACTTTAAAGACAAATTATTTGAGTTAAAACAGATTATGAATAGGTGGATGAAACGGATAGTTACACCAATTGGTAGGGTGGCAATCATTAAATCCTTGTTGATTTCAAAACTCAATTATCTATTGTTATCATTGCCTGATCCCCCAAATGATTTTCTTGTTACTTTAAATGCTATGCTTTTTAAATTTCTTTGGAGTGATAAACGAGACAAAGTAAAGAGGATTAAAGTTTGTCAACCTGTTAAGCAAGGGGGCTTAGGTATGGTGAATATCTTTTCATATGTAACATCTCTTAAGGCCACATGGATAAGGAGACTTGTGTCCTCAGGTGATCAAAAATGGAAGCACCTATTTAAATCTACATATCCTTATTTGTGTAAACTTGGTGAGTTTGGTGTGACGTTTTTTGAAAGAAAATTATCTTTGATAAGTAATGAGTTTTGGAAAAGTTGTTTTCAGTCATTTATAGTGCTTGATAAGAAAATCAAGCCAGAATCTTTCAGTAGTTTTTTAACTGAACCAATTTTTTATAACCCTAATATTAAAATTAATAGGAAATTATTTTTCTTGAAATGCTGGTTTGAGAAGGGCGTCTCACAAATTATAGACTTGGTCAAGGCCAATAAGGAGTTTCTGTCATATGAGGAATTTAATTATATGTATGGTATTTGTTCATCCTATTTGGAGTTTTATGGTGTTGTTAGCAGCGTTAAACAATACCTTGGAGCTCTAAATTTAGTTAGAGTTCCAACAGATTCTGTGGAGGATCAGCGCTGTGTGGTAAAAACTATTTGTAGTTCCAAGTCTGGTTCAAAACATATTTATTTTTCATTGGTTTCTACAGAAGTAAAAACTAAAGGGCAGGAAAAGTGGGAATTACAATTTGAAAACTTAAATTGGAACAATATTTATAATAAAATTTTCAGTACAACACAGGATGTCAAACTGCGATGGTTTCAATACAAAATTACCCACAGAATTCTCACCACTAATACTTTTCTGTATTGACTCAATTATGCTCAGAATGATTTGTGCTCCTTCTGTCACAATGAAAAGGAAACAATTACTCACTTGTTTTGGGAATGTGATGTAATAAAACAATTTTGGGATGAAGTGTCATTGTGGATCGACCAGTGCTTTCATGTTTATAATATGACATTTTGTGCAGAATTGATACTTTTTGGAGTTAAAGAGAACATAAAAACAGATAAAGAGTTTGATTTACTTTTACTAATTGCAAAATACTATATTTATAGATGCAAATTCCAAAATACAAAACCTTATTTTCATGTTTATAAAAAGGAAGCTTTTTCACGATACAACATTGAAAAAGATATTGCTTTCAAGACAGGTAATCAACAGAAATTCTATGGTGCTTGGATGCTGTAACATCAACTTTTCGAAAATGAGGAGCAGCTTTCAATTTAATTTTAGTTTTGTACTTAAGATTTTAATGTTTGAGACCATGTACTTTCCTAAACTGCAATATGATATATAAACAAGAGTGAATGTGTGAGTGAGAAGTACCGGGGTATGTTATTTTCTGTAAAAAAAACAACAAAGTAAGATGTACTGATAAGTTGTGCTTTATTTCATGGGCTTTCTGCTACCCTGGGCGGAAGCCCATTTATGTAACAGGTGCGTCTTTCTAAAAACAATAAAAGAAAAAACAAAAACAAACAAACTTCTCATGCCGGTTTAGAAGTAGTAAGTGAGTTGTATTTTATGCCGCTTTTTAGCAATTTTTAGCGAGGGACACCAGAAATGGGCTTCACACATTGTACCCATGTGGGGATTTGAACCTTCATCTTTGGTGTGACAAGCCAACACTTTAACCACCAGGCTATCCTACTAGCCCCTTGGTTTTGGAGTAGAATGTAACACAACGTGTAAGATGCATTTTCTTAAGTGGACTCCTGGACTGCCGGGGAATACAATAGTCTGAGGCGCTTAACCAACGTGTGTTTCTAAACACCGGCAAAACACGAATAACAAACTACCATGTCCATACTGATGATGTAAGTATCAAAATAAAGCATTGAACATTAGCTATCACAATGGTAGTGAACATATAGGAGATAACAAATAGCAAGTCAATACATGGTATGAGTGTGCCATTAGTTTGTTTGTTGCACTCAGATGATGGTCTGTAAATAATCGAGTCTAGACCAGACAATCCAGTGATTGACATCATGATCATCGATCCACACAGTGAGCCTGATCACCCGATCCCGTCAGTCGCTCTTACGACAAGCACAGTCACCTTTCACAGCAAGCATGGGTTGCTGAAGACCTATTCTACCCCGGAGAGTGTGCCATTAGATCACTAGAGAATGAAGTAGTTGGGTCACTCATTCTCTAACACATACTGCAATGACACTGAATTTCGACTGCTGGACTTTGCCCAGGGGTGTCGGAAATAAAGCAGGGAAGCTGATTTTGCAAGGACATTACAACTGATCAAGGAAGAGGGATTTGAATTGAAGACTTAGTTACGAAGGACAATGACAACATTGATATGAAGTGATACAGTTAACTACAATGTGCTGACTATAATTATACTGATTGTCGTGTTTGAGACTTCAGTGTGACAATCACACAGAGGTGGGAGCAGCATGGCTACTGGGCAGACTCCAGTCCTTCAGTTCAAATACATCGCGGATCAAAGAAGCAGAGTCCAAAACTTGTCCATTGAAAATTTGACCGGTCTGATGAGAGCACCCCGCTTGAAACTGGTCACTTAGATTGCTCTTGGGTTTTAGCCCCAAACTCTCTATCTTCATCACATCTCTCTAACACCCAAGAGTAATGGCTGAAATTACTCTGTCTTCCTACCTCAGCAGCCTAGAACGCCGCTCTATTTCTACGGTGGTTCAGGTAGAACCATCTAGTAAAAGGAAGAGGGTTGAATTTGGAACCACAGAATCCAAATCAACCGATAACATCGCAAAAGCGTTGGATTTACCCGACAACCTAGTCGGCCCATATAAAACATATAGGAATCTCACGAGCAAAATCGCCCGTAACAATATGCAACTGGAATTTACAATTGCTTGCAAAGAGAAGAGTCTAATTCCAAGGTTATTTAGACCATTTATTCACCAACACCAGACCAATTACAACCCAGAATTGGCCAGAATCAGAAGTGAGGCAGCAAAAACCTGCGCCTTAAAACTTATGGAAACACATATTTCCCAATTACAAGTCAACATATGTGAGCTTAGAGACCTAGCCACTATGGAGAAGAACAAACTCCAAAAGGATGCTGACAAAACATCACTTGATACTATACTTGCTGCGTGCCAAACAATATCCACTCGAGAATCCACCAACTGGCACACCAAACTGGATAAACGTTTTAACAAACTCAAAATGAGTTCAACGATAGGAATCAATACGATCCCAAACTGTTCATGGAACCTACCACCACCCCATGTAACCCCACGGGGAGACCTCGCGGCCAAGAGCCCAGAAACTCCAGGCCTCTCAACTGGTTCAACAATAGATCTAGACAGACCTTCAAAAGGAAGACTCAGAACCAGTCAGGAAATCTCCAACTGGAAAAAGTCCTTAGGCAGCTCGCCAATGCCCTCAATGTGAGCGACAATAACAATACACACATTAGCAATGAATTTTCACATTTGAATTTGAACAATAATAGTTCAAACAAGTGCAAAAGTGAGCGTGGCTCACTAATACCCCCGACCCGCCTAGTGTGTCAGTAGTTACAAAATAAACAGCTAGGATAGGGTTAGGCAGGGTTCCCCCTAGACTCCAATATCTGAGAGTCACCTTGACTCAGCCTATGAATTTTTGGGAGTCAAAAATATTTTTTGAGAGTCAAATGTTTTATTGTATGATTAATGAAATTTAAAGTGTTCACTTTAATGTTACACTTAAAGCTAAGTATCTTTTAAATATTATATGTCTTTAGTTTAAGTTAACAAGTGCTAATTAATGTTCTCAGCTGATTGTACTACAGAGAAATAAAGGATATATGAA